GCTCAGCACTTCTGAAACAGAGGAAAAGAAAGTTCTTAGAACCCTGTCTTTAACGTACCAGATCGGTGAGAGCTGGGTGCTCAAGTAAATCTAAAAATCCCATGGAGAGTTAGATTTCCTAAGAGATTTGGGTACTGTGTACCTCTAAAGGGGACAGTCAGGCACCTAAGAATAACATCCTTAATCGCTAGCATGTGGAGCAGGGAGCAGCTTGGGCTGGCCAGCTGAAAGCCCTGGAGAGAGGGCTTGCTCTTGAATCCTTTTCTACTCTGAGACTTGGGAGGCTTTTTCTACTGAAGGTTCTGCGTTGAGCCTGCCTAAATTAGGCCCCAAAACTATGGAGAGTGTAAGCAGAGGTTCTCTGGTTTTGTAGCCAGGGTGCTTACCTGGAAGTGACTTCTCCAGTGACACTTCAGCAAAAAAGGGATATATTCACTGAAGTGTGAACCGAAATGCAGGAATTTTCGTTATCAGAGACTGCTCAAATGATGAAGCTGCTTGAGTCGTGCCAAAATCTTGTATTTGACACAATGAGCTCAAACAAAAAAGTTTCAGCAGGGGAGCGCCACTCCATCCACCCTAGGAGGGTGCTGTCCTGGAAGGCATGAGGGTGAATCCAGGTCTCCTGCTTGGCCAAATGCTTTAACCACAGAGTTATCAGATTTAAAAAAAAAAAAATGTTAGGGTCAGGTGAGTGTGTGGCAGCATTTTCTCTTATGTTTTACCTGGATTCAATCCAGAAAGCACATCCAGAGGTCCACGATTGAACCCTGCAGGCAAAGGAGACAGAGGAACACCTAATTGCCAGTAGGTTAGTCGAGGGTATTACTCAACAGCATCAAAACTAAGGCACATCCAAGTGTGCGAAGCAGTAAGGAACCTTTCACATAATTGCTGTGGACTTTATGTTTTTCCAGTTAGGTGGCAGCTGAGCAGGGAACTCTGAGGAACTAAATTTTGGAGGCCCCTAAAGTTGAAGCGGGTCACCAAGAGAAAGATCCAAGAAAAGAAGTACACACCAATCTACCTCTTAAAGAATCCAGCCCCAAGTGACTTGCCCCAGACTGGACAGGTGCTAAGTGGCAGAGCTAGAAATAGAAAACTAACGATTCTGTCCTGGACTTTTATTTGAGGGCTTGGACAGATTCCCAGGCAACTGCCAGCCATATGGAGATATAAATTATTTGAAAGAGTGCAGAGGGCGATGGACAAGGGTCAGAAGCCACCTGCAAGCTTGCAAACCCTTAGCAGGTAACTTTGGCCAGAGCCAACCTGGGGATTCTGTCTTTCACATATCTGTCTGGTGGATACCTGAAATACTAAGATCTCTTTTACCACAGATTTTCCTCTTTTCCCCAGGCAGAATTTCTAATATGCCGGTTGTGCTCTACCATACATCTGCCTGATAGCAGATGCAGGCAGATTTATTACCTTAGAAAAAGGTAGGCTTCCATTTCTAGAGCTCTCCCTCCAGCACCTGCCGGGGCTGCAGATAACTCTCAAGTGGCAGCTGAATGCAGGCTACATGATTCTTGTTGGTTTCAGTGTTGCCCACAGGGTCTGAGCAACAGTGATGAAACAGGCTGGAGACAGGCTAATTCCATTCTGTTACTTGGAAAATTACAAACGGTAGGTAATAGCTAGTTTGTAAAGGCATTCTTCAAAAAGGCAAGTGATCACCAAAGCTTTATAGCCCCTTTCCCCCTTTGCTGGGGCGGGGGTTGGAGACTGGGGGGGGGGAGGGAGGGGGGTTCTGTCTTGCCCAGTACAACATGATCCAGATCCATTTGGAACAATTGTACCGTAAGCCAAGAATGCTATGGATAAAGCACCGTAGGAGTGATTTGTACAGGTTTATTTCCCTGAGTTTTAGGGTGATGTCATAAGTGCCCTTGTCTGGATCCGAAGCGTTTTTAAAGTGTGAATATTTACTGCTGCTGCAAAGCTGGTACTGGCTTCAGCACCTCAAGTGCAGTACAGCCCTCCTTGGAGCCCAACTGCTTTCACTTCCTTTCTACAGCGCTCTGTAGCGGTGAGAAGTTTTTGTGCCACAAGCTCACGAGGACCTGATCCTCAAAACCTGCCTGCAATAGCTACTGTCCTTGGCACAGGCAGCAGAATTCACAGGCTTCCTTTTCTGTTTTAAATGGGTCCCGAGAGCCTTAATTTGCAGATAGTAATGGGATTCCGTCTTTCTGCTCTTGACAGAAGGTGCCTCTGTGAGCAGCCTTGTTTCACCTTTCAAGAAGCTGATTTTTTTTCTTGAATAGCATCCCAGTTTTGGTGTGTGGGCTGTGACAAATGTTTCAGGAAAGGATTACAGGGTTAATTAACACATTAATATTTAATCTCGCTTCTCTGCTATCAGGTCCTCAGCCAAAATTTCTGCCCCCTGGACCCAAATCTATGCTGGCCATAAATACCACTTTCCCCTAGCAACCTGACTTTTTATTATTCCTACTCTTCCTACTTTTCTTCTGCCTCAATCCCTGGCCTCCTTCCTTCAACAGTCCTCCCTATAATCAAATTATTTTGGAAGGGCACAGTCTGCTCTTGGCTCCAACTACAAGATCAAACATTGTTTACCGCCAGTGATGTATCCTTCAAAGGTAGGCTCTCACTTATTTTGTTGAGGAGGCGCACTGTCTTTATACACATCATCTTTAAATTTCTCCTCCTCATCTCCACTGGAGTGGAGGGAAGACAGGAGAAGATACAACAGGAGCCCTGGGTCACTTGTGGGACGGGCATAGAAGAGCATAGGGATGGTCTAGGGCAAGCTTTGTTCAATAATTGAGAGGTTTTGACCCTCAATTGGTTTAATACACCTCTGCTCTGACATGGCAGTAGGGTGAGGGGAGGGATTGCAGCCTGGGGAAGGCCTCTTCATTACAGCTTTAACATTGGGTATAAGTCGCAGTGAAAGCATATCGGCACAGGTCTCAGCGCAGGATAGTTTCTCGACATCTAGGGTTTGGTGCAACCAGCTTGAAGCCTGCCCCATGGAATTTCACTGTCATTATTTGCTGAGCTAGCAAGATCGAAACTAGTACACCTGTCTGTGGTGCAACCACCCCTTTCAGGGCTGCTGTGTGCATACAAGGCCTGATAGAGCAAGTCAGGGCTTCCAGCAGCACCCCTGCAACCTCGTGTCACCTGGCCCTGCAAGCCAATGCACAGCCTGTGTGAAAGGACACTGCTCCCTCCAGTAAATCAGGCTGCTGGTTATGGAATTAAAGGCCAAAAAGTGGGTAAGTTTAAACACAAATATGTAACTGGAGGGATGTTTAAGTGCTTAGGCAGCTCCGTACGGTCTAGTCACTTCATGAACCTTTAGAAGCGCTGCTAATTCAGAGCATCCACCCCTGTGGCACGTAGGGCCTGCTCCCCAGGGATGCCGACGGCAAAACAGCACTGTTGGAGCACAGCGCTTGGTGCTTTGGGACTTGAAGGGAGCATCAAGGCAGGCTGCTGAACTGAGCCGAAGTGTTGACCTTCCCTCGCTATTCAGGCTTTGCCACCTGCAAAACAGGAACCGCAGTGGCAGGAGCTGCAGCTTGGCATGGTTTCGGGGCAGACCTCGCTGCCGGGCACCCAAGGGTGCCACAGAACCGCCCGTGGGCAAGGCCACGAGGGGTGCTTGCTCTCAAGTGTCCAGCAGATCATCATTATTATTTTAACTCCTCTCTGCTCCCTCTCGTTTTTTTGAGTCCTTCATTCGCTCTATTCCCTCTCCCCGGCCCCCCCGCGCCCCGGGCGGCCCCGGCGCTGC